TGTGTGCGTGCGTGTGTGTGTGTGTGTGTGTGTGTGTGTGTGCGTGTGTGCGCGCGCGCGTGTGTGTGTGTCTCTCTCTGTGTATGTGTGTGTGTCATTTGCTATTTTTTTTCTAGTAGTAGCCGCAGTTTCTTTCATTTTCCTACTTTTGGAGGAGAGAAATCGCGACCACTACTTATTCTCCACGGAAAGGTTGGGACTTATTTTGGGCATATTTGTAGACGTTTTTCTCGTTTTTTTTTTTTGTCCTTCTACTGGAATTATTTTAACATTTAGCTGGCGTCAACGAGATACCAGTAACAAAAGAAAGCCCGATAAAATAAAATAAGTCTAGAGAAACATAGAATCGTAGAAGAGGCGGACAAAAAGATACCCCCTGCCTTGAGGCTTTGTGTTCAGGGCGGGGCAACGACATTACCGAACAAAACCACGTTTCCCCTCCCGTTACTTGTCTGGTTTGTTGCTGATGGAGATGTTGGTCACACCTTTATCATACCCGCGCGGTTCGGTGCGCGCACGTGTGCACGGTGGGAGCCGGGACCGACCGGCGCCACCAAACCACTCTCCCGCCGGGCCTAGCAGCTATGCACCGGGACGGTCGGGCAGAGATTCACTAGTCTCCACCAGGCTTCAGAAGCAGTTGAAAAGAATAGAAGAAGATGGTCTCCCGTGCTCTTCTGCCGAGCGTAGGGTGGTTCCCATCTCCATTTCTGTAGCCCTTGGGCGACACACAGTTGTGCAAGGCACTACAGCAGGGGGCTGGTCCGCTGGTAGTGCTGTGTGTTTGACCTTCCCACACTCTTTCTCCTATGTGCTGAGTGCTAAGCAGAGGAAGAAGAGTGTACCAAGTCTTTGGTATGACCCGGTCGGGGTTGGAACGAATAGAAACGGGTTAGATAGACCGGTAACATATAAGGAGTATATCTAGTCTCTACCAGACTAACTAGGCTGGCTATATATACTAGGAGAATATTTGCCAGGAGAGTTTGGCCGCCTTGCTGTTTGACTTCAGAGGAAAAGAAACAACCTTTATTTCCCGGCCAGACTCCCCTGGACAATTTTACTCTCCTTTTTGCCGAATTCTACGATCCGTATTCCCGTAGAAAGGCCTGGCTGGTGTGGCAAATGTACTCCTTAGCGGGCCTACTTATTTTAACAATCTATTTGGCCAATTGCAATGTCTAACTTTGGCGATTCGAACTGTTCGGAAGCGTACGCAGTGGAGTGTTGTTCCTTGTTGATGGCTTTTTGAAGCGAAAAAAAAAGATTATCACTTAGAAACAAACGCTTAAGTTGAAAATAGAAGCATTGGACAACTCAACAACTGAAAGTTGTTATTGTAATTTCCGGTTGAGATCTGAGTTCTTTGTTTCCTAATTTTTCACGATGGTTATCTCTACTTCTATGGTCTGATGTGAGCTTCTGATAGGTCATCAAGAAAATAATTATTAAAATAAATGCACTGTACTAAAACAGCAGGGATGATGTACATGTATATGTACGCCTCATACTCGTTAAAGACAAAAAAGTCTGTAAAATACATACAAAAACTATATACAAAAGTATAGTATTATATACAATATACATCAGTATACATGTAATACATAATCATGTTGACTGAGAAATTGAGTTTTCAACAGAAATTGTGATTCCAACATGTAATCACAAGACGTGGTGACGACACACTCAAGTTTTTTCAACTTATATTAATACCGCCACCAACACAGGGGACAATACAATACTCATTTTCACCTGCGCGAAGTGAGGAAAGTCGTGTAAAGTGCCTTTCCCAAGAGCACAAGATCGGTGGCATGTCAGGACTCGAACCCGGGACCTTGATTCCGAGTCGAGCACTCTGCCGCTATGCTACACGACCCCACGTTTATGTTTATTATCTAGTATTTTATGTAGTATTTTATATACTATATCTAGTATTTTAAGTATTTGAATAGTATAGAGAAATTCATATTCCTTGTAGTCTTTAACAAACCAGCTCTAACTACTCATACAGCCAACTACATTTATAAGATTACCAGAAAGCGAGAGGAAGTTGAAAGTACTTGTGTTCTATAGCAGTTTTATTATCAACATTGATGTACTTTGTCAATATGTGACCTGTCTTTAGCCCAGTGGGGCAAAATGTACAATAAAGGTATTCATTCAATTATCCAGACTTTTTTCCAGAACACATGAAACCTGATGTCCGCACCTTCTGTAAGAGCTATCGGCCCTTACCACCCATGCTCAGACTCATCATTGGTCATAATTTCGACAATTTACCTCAATTAAAAAATAAACATCCCTTTGTTCGCACTACACGAGTCCAGCAGGCACCCCGCAGGTAAACAAAATAGAAACAAAGAAGGAAACGAGAAGTCAATTGTCGTACACAGAAGAGAAAAGAAAACGATTTAGATAATGACAGATTTAGGACCGACCGCCCCTCCCATAATTGTTCTTCACTGTAACAACATGTACACAGACGAGGCAGGGAGCGCACAACATAATAGACTTCTCTGTTATTATATGTTGCAAACGCGAATAAAATAGATAAGTTACGTATACCAAGCTGGTTATTCTGATCTGTAGAAAAGCTGTTCCATAACATTCGGAGTCTTTTTCTGACTACTACTATGTTTCATCGTTAGATTCACGGACTACTGTAATTAAAGAAGAGAGAAGATGTTGAACCTGTACATACTTGTATACATTAGCCATCTTAGATGTAGTAAGATAGCACACACTTGTATCACTGTAATTATATCTAGAATTGTTTTCTCACAATGGCCTGTACTTAGCTTCCAAAGGAATAAACGAACTACAAACTCTTTCATTCCTTTCTTCATTAATCACAGAAAGAGGAACATTATCCAACAAAAATTATTGGCATAAGTACACGTTCTTTCAGAGCACCGTTAGAAGCCTGTTGATGAAGTTTGACCACAGTGCTGCAACATTGGTGTACTCGTATAAGTACTTATGGCAGTAAGAAAAAAACAGATATCCCCAAATATGCTAAAATAACACGAGAACCGCAACGACGATGACTTGACATAAATGCACTTTGAATTCAAGTATTGTTCATCCAATGACAAGTTTCGTTGTGTTATATTCAAGTTTAGCAACATATTGAAGTTATACGAGGCCATTATTTTACCATTTATAATAAAAAAATATCAAAACAAAAAAAAAAACGTTTCTTGAACTCTATGTATTTTATTTTGCAGGACCTCTCACAGTCTATTATGTTCAATGGAAGAAATAGAAGGTCACAAAATTACGATTTCTAAATGTAGAATCTCCAGCTTGAAGCCATAGATATATGAAAAGTATACGCATTAAGTTATGGATATACTCAGCGATGCTTCAATATTATATTCAGTATTTCTGCCGTCCAATCAGATCGGATGTTCTTTGTGACGTCATAGGGGCGTGGTCTGATATCCTTCAAAGCATGTGGCACCTGTCTTGTCCCCCCATCCCAACTCTCGTGTAAACATGCATCACTTCGTGCGCCCGGTAGAGATGATGCCGTACAACGCCAAGACGTCTTCGGGCCTCCAGGCGCCCACTTCCCGAGAAGGGATGCAGACCATCGCGGTGCCCCGTCCCCAGCTCCCGTACCAGGGCGTGTGCGTGTACGACTGCGGCGGCCGGGCCCATCCGCCTCCGCCCGTCCATCTGCCAAGCGACGCTCGCCTCCCACTGTACGCCACAAACCCGTTCTTCTCCACTTCCTACCTGTTTTACCCTCGCTCGTACTTACCGGTGGCACCCGGGGCATCCTTCGGGCCCCTCCCGCACGAGGAGCCGAAGCCCAGTCACAGCTACATCGGTCTCATTGCCATGGCCATCATGAGCTCCAAGGAGAAGAAACTGGTCCTCAGCGACATCTACAAGTACATCTTAGACAACTACCCGTACTTCCGAAACCGCGGGCCTGGCTGGCGAAACTCCATCCGCCACAACCTGTCCTTAAACGACTGTTTTGTCAAGATGGGTCGCAGCGCCAACGGGAAGGGGCACTTCTGGGCCGTCCACCCGGCCAACGTCGACGACTTCGCCCAGGGAGACTTCAGGCGCCGGCGGGCCCAGCGGAAGGTTCGGAAGCACATGGGACTCCTGCCCGAGGACGACGGCAACAGCAGCTCGGGGTCGTCTAACGAGAACAGCGGCGCGGCTAGCCCGTCTCCCCCGCACCTGTGTCCAGAAAAGCGCCCGGGTTCCGCACACGACTCCGTGCCGCCGGCAGAGCTAAACACAACGTGCAGGTCGTCATTTCGGCAGACGTCATTATCAAACGACACCTCTTGTCAGGAAAAAGGGCGGGAAAAGATTTCTCCCGACGGTACCTCGGGGAGAAGAAAGTTTGACATGGCCAGTCTTCTGCAGCCGGACTCTAAGTAAAGACAGCCCGCGAACAGACCTGACACGTGTCGGTAAAAATGTAGGGCTGTAAGCGGACGCCCTCGGTAAAAAAAAGGAAGTAATGCGTTAAGACTTTAAAGCAAAGACTTTGCCTTGAGAAAGAAGAATAGACATCATCACGTGCTTCTTGTCAAGAAATCGGACACAAGGTAACTGATAAAAAGAACTTACTGGCAAAATAGGTTACTAGTAGCTAACTAAAGGAAGCGAAGAAAAAAAATGCAGTACTATAAAGTGATGGTTTGTAATTGTTGCCGCTTGTTTCGTAAACTTTGTTGTCATTGTTTGTATGATCTTGATGCAGATTTTTATCCATGTCATTTATTTCTTGTTTATCGAAAAGAAATCTCTATTTTGACAAGACATAATTTATTACTTGTTGTGTTGATGTAGCTATAGAAATATAGTCTCATTTCGTTCATATGTTACAACAATATTGTTTTGAATTTCAGAAACAAGATACTTTGAACCTAGTGTTACGCTTGATGTAACATGTGGAACCTATATATGAAGCACTATATACAGATCGAACAAAATCTATAAAAACGGCCAAGATACTGATTATATTGTTTTGATATAAATTTATCAAGTCTACAATGTACATATATGTGCACGAGTCTGTATCTGTATCTACTACAATAAAAGCTTTCAGCGTAACCTACTGGCTCTGTTGAAAATCAGCGTCGACTCATTTTCCAGAAAAAGCTTGTCAAATCTTAGCACCAGATCCAGTCATTTGAATATCTTGCTACACTCAGAGTTTAAAGAACAAATGCTTTTCCTGTTATGATTATGGTATTTTTTTTCAGATTTATCGTATATATGTTTGTAGAGTCATGCATGTTTTTTTTTTTTTGTTCAAAATATTTTAATTTTCAGGCGGTATCTGCTTAAATGAAAGGTTTACAGTGTTGAGACAAACGAATCTAACATGACTTGATTAGAATACTAGTAACAACTTTTTTGTTTTGTCGAACACTAGACATGCCATATGCTCGTTCCCTCGAAGGCCATGTTGATTTGATTATATGGATGACATCCGCGCGCGCATGAATTTTCGGCCGTTTCCAAAAAAAAAACAACAGAGTTTTCAACCATATTGTAAATCGTACAAAACAGTTGCAAAATGAGCAAACATATACCGTAAGTTGCAAAAAAAAATGTAATATTTGAAAACGATACCAATGTCGTAGAATGCCAAAATCAAATGAAAAAGACGAAAATGTGAGGAAATGAATTTGAAGAATAGATTATTCGTCATAACATACTCTGTGTCATTTATTCAACCTTCATGATCACGTACATTTCATGATGAAATTAACTTTTTTTGCCAAACTTTTTTTATTCGCACGCGCGCATCGGTTTTGGGGTTCCCAGAGGATGCCATCCATATAATCAAATCAACATGGCCTAACAGTTGTTCATGTCGAAGTAGACTATTTGGACATAAAATTACAATAACAAGGATTAACGTTTCACAGCTGTGGTCGCTAGACTATTTTGAATGCAATAATATTCAATTGAACCTTTTCTTTCTCGTAGAAAATTTCGTACAACTGAAAATAACAGCCATTATTGCAGCTATAAAACCTGTCAAAATGGAACAAAAATGTAACAGACACTGCCATGAAGTGAGGGAAACTAGTTTAATTTTCCAGGTGTGAAAAATAAAGCTATGAAAGATAAGTGTACATTGTGTACGTTGCTTTTTTTTTACAGAGTTTTTTTTCGCCAAACACGGTTAGGCCACAGCAAGTAATTTTTATGGATGACATCAGCGCGCGCATTAATTTTCGCCTGATTTTGAAAAAAAAAACGAGAACCTTTGTTGCCCTCTGACAGTGGTCAACATGCCAAAAATGGGCAAATATGTCTGTTGCCATGCCGGAAGCTGGATGGCAGATAACTATGAAGAGAGGAGACAAGAAAAGGCACTGATTTAATGTTAATGTTAGCTTTGATGCAGTGTTATGTGATGCTGGCTGTGTATATGTGATGTTCCTACTACTGAATTAAAATCATTTGTACAATGATTGAGTTAAAATTTGAAAATGTGGGAACCTTGTTTTTTTTCGGCCCGCCTTGTTCTTTCTCGCCTGCTCGCATTATAGATTTGGAGTCTGCGGAGGATGTCATCCATAAAATTTACTTGCTGTGGCCTTACTGTAATAAAATGTTGGAGAAAGAACATCGTGTTCTCCTTTTTTTAAAGAATTTTTAACAACTTTCACATTGGTCAATATTATAATCAGTCCGTTCATAAACGCTTTTATGATTGGTTATTACAATCAACGGTTAAAAGACAAAACTCTTAGAGCTTACAATGGAGGATACATGTCGATATTATTTGAGTTAGAAGTCTACCGTCGTCGCGCTATATAAAGCACTCTTACTCTTTATGTACTTTTAACGGGTTAACGTAATCAACATTTGTGCACTACGGGGGCAAGGATCGTGACGAGAACACAAAGAACGATGTCATCATCAATCTGTGTGCTGCTGCACTGGGACGCCATTACCGTGACCTTGGGGGATGTGACGTAATGAGATTATCTCGGTGTAGTTCTTCACAGGCACGCGGCTGGGCTGAAATTCAAGCCCCTGTCATACATAGCAGAATTTACTGGAGAGTCTTTATTGACGCAACAAAAAGTACAGGTCTTGTACAACTAAAGACCTAACAAATCTAAATACATGTGTAGATAACGTCATCCTACGTACAGAATATATGTATGTGTCGACAATATAGATTTAATTATTCTCTAACATGTGGTCTCTAAGATCGAAACATTCTTTAATATTTTCCTGTTTGAACACTGTATTGGTTATCTCCCCTGAGAATGTAGTTGAATTTATCTATAGGATCTTATGTATTGAAATCAGTTGAACAAGCGGAAAGAAAGGTGAACAGCAATAGGCGTTTATCATTGTATAGTATACAATCCATTATAAAATGGTACTCATTCATAGTAGTAGCTATGTATAGCCTCCCTCCCAAACATTGCTAAACTACCCCAAACCATGGTTAGGAGTAGGTCGGTAGCAAGGTTGTGGTTGGCTGGTGTTCGGCGAGGTCGGCTACTGTTCGGCTGCGCCAGCCGATTGTTTCAAAATGTTTAAAACATTCGGGTGTGGACGGGAGATTGGGCCATGGTTGGCTGGTGGTTGGCTTGTGTTCTTGAGTAGGTCGGGGTTGTTTGAAGTCAGATTCAACTCAAATTAAAGTCAAATTTGATTTGATTCGTATAGAATCATAGGCTTGTCCTAAAACTGATCGGACTGCTCCCGAACTTTAGCCACGCTTTGTCGGCCTTTATCAAACATAAGAAACAAGTTCTTGGGGCAAAAACTGAGTTAGTCATCCCACAAACATTTCTATTTTTAAAGACACACAGTATGCATCTCGTTCCATTGCAAAGTTCAATGGTGGTCCGATGATGGAGGGTTGTTCTTTGATTTCAAGGCTTTGTTTGGTGGAAAACAATCTCAGATAAAAGTCAAGATAGAGTAAACGTTAAAAAAATAGCACGAATGCTGCGAAGTTTACCTTTTCAACGAATCGTCTTATGACTAAAGGTTTACCATCCCTTCAGCCTTATGGATCAGAAACGGTATAAACTGACCAATACACCACATATAGTACACGATAATATTGTTGAACAGATTCGTTACTATCACAAGAATGAAAATATACAAGAAGTCGTACCTTTTTTTTTGCATTACATCACATTTTACTAAATACTATAGACTTAATAAATATCGCATTACATTACAGTGCACTTTGCACTCTGCACTCTCAGAACATTTACACGGATAAATGTCAACTCGGTTTGAGCTGTTGTCCCAAATCCAAGTATAGGGTAACAGTAAAAGTAAAGGTGCCATAGCCTTTGAGGCGGTAAGGGTCTTGAGTTCAGTATCTATTGAGAACAGTATCTATCATTCTATGGGTCACGGAATAGGAAAGCGGAGTCCATTCAGCTTATTTTTTTTATTCCACCGTCCATCGGTGGAGTGACGAAAGTAAAGTGTCTCTCCCAAGGGCACTACATGTTGCCAGAAATATCAGGAATCAAACCCGAGACCTCTCTGTCTCGTGTGCGCCGGCCCAGCCCATTCTGCCATTCAATATGCTATTGTCAATATAAGATATTCCAATTGAAAGACGAAGAAGATTCCTCTTCAGAATGACGCTCCCGTGACATTTGCCAGTAAATTAGATTTTCTGCAGAAGATTCGCGAAGTATAAACAATTATCTAAACACGGAAAGCTACTCAGGTTCTTCAGAAATTCTCCCGATATCCAACATTACTCCACTCACCACACGGGCGCATACCCTGACGGACTCACTCCCTGTGGACAATACCTCTTTGTTTGCCCCTTTTGTGGCAGACGCATTATCCCTTTCTCCTTAACCTAATTACCGATGATGGGAATGATTACTTTTTCCATTCACTCTCGGTGAATAAATGTTTTAACGCGCGATCCCCAAAAGTCCGCCAAACACAAAAAAACGTTTTAGCGTTTAGCTCCGATTTTTAGAAAACAGGCTTTGGTGGAAGGGCCGCGGGGAGCTGGGTGCGAGTAGACCGAGAATGGAGCAAAATTTGATTTGGAGAACCACTCTTGGACTTATTTGTTGTTGAGGCCACACCAATTTGATTTCTTGGTTAACGGATTCGCCTGCTTCATTTTTTTCTGATTTGCAAAAAATAAAATTCAGAATCAACTGCAAAATGCTCATATTTTGCCCTGAACAATTGAATACAGTCATTTACTTCCTAGCTGCTACAGTTATTCCATCTTTCAATACAGTGGTATCATTAAAAGTTCAAACTTCATTGTTTAAATTTTGAACCAGCCTGGTGTGTTGACTTCATGGCTCCTACTGTACCATTTTGGACCATAATAGGATGCCTAGGCCTGTTTTTATTTATTTTTTTTCGCCCGCCCGCCGAACCAAGAAATTAAATTGATGTGGCTTGAGCTAAAATCATAAGTGATAATTC